TTGGTGGCTCTGTTGTTAGGCGCATTGAAGTCAGAAAACTTGAAAGTGAAGAAAAAAAAAATCTCACCGACTCGGCGTTGACCAAGCCGACTTACGAAGTAGTGTAGACTTCGTAGCGATTACGAGGTTTTAAGATGACGGGGAAGAGATCGGTGGCCGGCGGGGCTCTCCAATCTCGGGAAATAGCACAGCCTGGCTAGTGCCTGGCGAGCCTGAAGACCCTTCCCAGATCCCGGTGGATTTCTACACCATTCAAGTGTACACTAGGGAGCAGTGTATGCACTGCTAAAAACAAGTCCAAAGCTGTTGAAGCCATTGCGATAGGGCTGGCATTCCCAGTTAGGATTCAGGAATCAGGATTGAAGATGTCGTGCCCTCAGCCACAGCACGACTCCGGCTCCAGGCGCATAGAGTTTTCCACGTATTCCTGATGCTCGCTGGCGAGTCTGAGCCGCCACCTTGTTCGGCCAGACCACTGCGCACCTCTTCCCGTAAATTACTCTCGGCAAGAAGGACGACACCGAGCCCGCTCAGTGGCGGGACCTTGACGAACGGTGGGGTGTGCGGAGTATGGTGTGTCCTGTCGACAGGATCCAACTCCGACAGAGGACAGAGGCGTTTAGAAAAAAAAAAGAAATGCTCGGTGGACTTGACGGATTGCTGACGCCAACCCCAACCTGATTTCTGTTTTGCTCCCCTGGCAACCAGCGTCAACATGCATCTGGAGTGGATGGCGAGGCAAAGTAGTGCCGACTAATACTGCTCAGCACGCCATTAGTGCGTGTGGTGATGGGTCTGGAACCAATCAGCCAAGAAAGAAAGACACTTCACTGACATTTGATGGTGCCTCGGAAGACCAATGTCTTGCCTTGAGAGTCGCTTAACGGAAACAGTACAGTTAGTAGATTGGAAGACTGAAACCATGACGTTCCTTTGATTTTCCCGGTCATTCTTTGCTTGTTATTTTGAGTCATTTTGAGCAAACTACTGAGGTAGATAACACCATTCAGCGCGTGTGCTAGAAGAATTCTCGAGACATTGATTCTACGGAGTAGTTTCTGACGCCGAGCAGAAGAGTGAACTGGTGTCTGACACTGACACAGAATGAGGGTATCATAAGTACCTCCGAGTACTCAGTCATCTGAGAGGCGAACGAATTCACCAGGCTGATGTGTACTCCAGTAAACAAAGCACCACCTCTCTCCGACCAAGTACTCGTCCGAAGCGGCAACGTCGATCAAAAAAAGGATGTAGTAGGAAGTGGTAATAGGCTCAGGATAAACTCGTGGCATCGATTGATCTGCGAAGGGATCTCACTCAACCCCCCCGAGATCCAATGCACCTCAGATCCGGATGTGCACCTTCGACCGCCATCTGGAGGAAGCATGGTGCGCGGCAGATGCTTTAGCCCCATGGACCTGCGACACGAGCGGTGGAATGCTTGGACTAGAAGAAAACCTAGAAGCTTTGCTTCCCGCCGAGGAGAGACAGCTCCACCGTCTATTTCGCAAGAGAGAGCGCCGTTATTTGGTGACCTGTGCTCCGAAAGTTCAATATCCCGCCGCTATGATAGTTCACTCCAAGAGTTTGTGTGAACAGAGGAACAATACGTAAGAGTGGATACTGAGTATTATTATGTACCCTCTCCTTCTGATCATGCGAGGTCATTGTGAAGATGGCCTCGCCAGAGATAAATTAAGCTCTTACATTTTCTTATATATGTGGACAAACATGGCCGCGGGACGTGATACGGCTGTCATTACCCGTCAGATCATGCTTGCTTCCCACAGATCTGGCTTCCTCGGTTTGCGGCATGAGAACCAACGGGTGACAACATCGTTCGACTAGTTATCGCTGCCTCGTCAAGCTTCAAGGAGCCAACTCCCAAACTGGTAAGATAGAGTGTCTTGGATTGAGACAGAGATGGCATGCACGAGGCCGACTGACAATCTAGACTGAAAGACGCGAATCAACGCGCTTTTGCACAGTCAGAAACAGCTTGAATAACCTTTCAAGCCCAATTCATCTTAGCGCTTTCTCCAAGGAGGTAAATGCTGCTGAGGAATGGGTCCAGCTCATTGCTCTTTTGATGGAGAGAGGTCATCAATTCGAGGTCATGTTCATGAATACGATAGTACTGTCCCCGTGTACATTTGTATTATCCTGCAGTCCCAAGTCATTGGTGACCTTAGAAGTTAGGGAAACGGGATATTGCGACGATGCTGTATGAGAACTGTGTCAAGTAAGTAATTGATTTCTTCGAAGAAGGGACGCATGAGAGGGAATAAGAATCATGGCCTATTTTATATTGTCCACAGTTTACGAACTATCGGGGTCCATCAATCTGCAATTCGGATATTTACGGAACGGGTCAATGATGCCAACAAGGGAAAAATGAGGCTGCTGCGATCTTCAAGCACTTTATTGCTTTAACAGTCTCACTACCGAATCACTCAAAGCTCCATTTAAACTACTACCACGAACTCATCTTGTCGAGATTATGACGGCATACTTCCACATTTAGCGAAATAAAGCCTTCTCCGCCTACCTCGGTAGTCTACCGTATATAGGAAAGGCAAGAAGTTTCCTGAGGCCGACTTGCTTGGATGAGCTGGCACTTCCAGCTGCACGAGGAATAAGGTTGCCTTTGCTTCTTCTGTAAGCATCGTCAGAGAGAGATGCAGCTAATCAGGTTGTTGGAGTATGCCGCTATTTTCTCGCAGATCGGGTTCAATGGCGAATCGAAGTCTTGTGGAATGGGCACAGACTGCCCAAGGGCGAAAGAAAAATGTCGGACCTTCGTCCAGAGCCAATGCCTTAACGAGCCAGAACGCTGACCTGCTGGAGACGCCGAAAGGGGAATGTTGGAATTGTAACACGCTGTACGAAGTATTTAGCCGTTATCCTTTCCGTTTCCTTAGAGAGCAGTTTGTTCGAGGAGTGCAGAGATTCCTACTTCGCATGTGAGCCCGAAACATACTCCACAGGTATTCGACCTGACTTTGCTCTCCAAGTGAAGAGAGTTCGCTTGTCAAGGCAGATTTGTGCCTGCCAGCTTGCAACTTCCTGAGTGATAAACTAATAACTTCGTACCTAAGCGCACTCGTAGAATGGGAAAGAGCTGAAGTAGAACCCCTGCATGAGTCGGGTGAGTACAGTATCTGCACAGTTGGGGGCAATAGGGGGGGAAGATCGCTCCCAGGTGCGCCGAATGCATAATATTGATACTGTGTACAGCACTACGTTGTACCTTCTAAAGACAGTGCCCGAAGACAAACCTCGTATTTGGATACGCATCGAAAACAGCGAAAGTGGAGGTCGTCTAAAGTCAAAGAGACTGTATAGACTATGTAAATTGCGGCATGTTAGGCACTGTACGAGGTTCTTCGACGCATCATTTTAAGTGCACACTGTCCAGGTACGAAATACTCAGAAGAAGCAGGAACACACACTCGCGCTGGTCTGATCACAACGAGGAAAGCAGGGAGAGCCATAGGGCAGCATCAAATCAATCTTTGACCATCAAGAGAAATTTGCCTTTCTTCAATCCACCACGCTTGCCCTCCAGAGCCCCGGCATCTATTCTTGTCCTTCGCTTCGTGTTGTCTCGCCTTTGCTATCATGGTCTGACAACACAGTCGTTCATTCTAAGCCTCGAAACTCCCTTCGTTCTATTGTGCGCTTTTTTTTTTTCTTTCTTCCTTCGTTATTCTAATATACGCTCCTCAACCGGGGCATTGCTCCTCCGCGACTGTACGAGTACTCCGCCCTCTTCCCTCTGAACGAGACACGATTCAGATCCGGCATCCTACCTCTTCCGAGTCGCGAAACCGACATACTTACGGTCTACGGTCAACGAAAAAGGAGGCGAGAAAACAGACGCGGTATTGCTCAGACGGCCGAGAGCATTTTCGCTCCAGGATTTGGCTCTTTTCTGCTTCTCGGCTTGCTTGAGACTGGCGTTTCGTGGTCCCGAGGGCGTCAAAATCGTCGCTTCAACCAAGTTTTTAATTTATCCTTTTTCCGGGGGTGGCCGACCGACTCCTTCTCATCGTGCTGAGCCACCGAGGGATTTGTCCCTGACTTTGGTTGCTTCAAGTTGGCTTTGGCACCAGTCAGAGTCGCTGGACCTGGCCCACTAAAACGGTTCACGGTTCGCGCATCAAATCCTGAGAGGCTACCGTCTCCCAAGGAACGGCCCCCGCTCGACATTAACGGCCCCCTACTATATCCCCTTCGTTCGACAACCTGGCTTTATTGGCGTTTCCACGCATAATAACAAATCAACATCGTGGGTTTACCTTCTCTCTCTTTCCCGCTCTCGCCTCAGCTTTGTTCCTTTGCATCACGTTTCATGCCCTTTTTACCCCATTTCGAGACCATTTCCTCAACCACATTTTCTCCCCTTTTCGAACCTTGCGACGTCGTGAATGCCGAATACAGAATTGAGTAGCGATACGAGTCGAAAATCTAAGCTATTCTCTGCTCTGAAGGGTGTGTTGTCTTGTCGTCGTTGGTGCTACTATTTAGTTCTTATTTTTGTCACACCCTTTGTTGTCCTACTCCCCGCCAGCTCCGTTCCTCACTTCAATCGACGGTCGCTTCGAACAATTCTTGTTGACAGCCAGCACTGACATCCGCCTTCGTATAGGACAATGTCTCTCCCCGAGAGGCCGGGTGCGAGCCCTTCGTACGAGCAGCGAAATGGATATCGACACTCACCTTCCCGACGAAGCCGCCCTGCGGACGCGGAGGGAGGCGGATATTATCCCCTAGGCCCCATGCCAGCACATCAACGTGGGCAATCCGCCACATCCTTTCCCGATACCATCGCGGGTCCTAATAGTAATACAGAGACTACCCCCCTTTCGCCCGATGCGACCTCCCCAAATCCCGGCTCTGGGAGCAATTTCCAGCGAAAGCGAAGCCTTATCCGACCCGAAAGAAATAAGATCGGAAAAGATCATCCAAACTATCATTACCGGAAACATGCAGCCAAGATGGACACTCTACCCTCGACTACGGGGAATAACCCGTTAGCGGAGGATCTTGAGGAAGGCTCCGATCGTTCGCCTTCGCGAACTCTTGACGCATACTCGGATGCTTCTCCCCCCCGAGACCCGAGGAGCCCTCGGCGCAACGACGATCCCGAGAAGGGTCTTGGTGGAAAGCCGGTGAAGCGAACCAAATCATCCAAGATTAGAAAGGAGGATAGAAAGAAGCAGAAGGAACAGGAGCAGATCCGCCCTCCAAGCTTGTGGAATGTGTATTGTGCCATTGTCACATTCTGGTGCCCCGACTTCATTCTTAAGTGTTTTGGAAAGGTCAAGAAGGAACAACAGCGCGCTTGGCGAGAAAAGATGGGCCTCATCAGCATTATTCTCTTCATCATGGCGGTGGTGGGCTTTTTGACTTTTGGTTTCAATCAGGTTGTCTGCGGCTCACCTCCGCCAAGGCTTCGTATCAACGAAGTAACCGGCGGCTTCATGATCTTCCACGGTGTAGCCTACGACCTCTCAAGATCTGGCCATCCTGCCGCCGAAGGCATTCCTCTCCGCCAGAACGGACAATTAGCTAATGTCCTATTCGATTTGCCCGAGAAGAATAGCGGCAAAGACGGAAGCTTCCTCTTCCAAAACGTCAACGGTCGCTGCAAGGGCCTGATCAATAGGTCCGCCAACTCCAACGTCCCGACCAACTCTAACAATGATCTGGCATGGTACTTCCCCTGTACGACATTCAACCAGGACGGCTCTAGCAGCCCGAACGTCACAGTACCATATTATGTCGGATACGCATGCCATACTACTCAGGCAGCTCGCGACGCCTTCTATCATGGCCTCCGTGGCTCGGCCGATGTTTACTTTACCTGGGATGACATTCGTAATAACTCACGCAATCTCATCGTTTATTCCGGCAACGTGCTCGATCTGAACCTGCTCAACTGGTTCGATGAGACCCAGGTGACTATCCCAGATCGTTTCAAGGAACTCCGCGACAAGAATACTGCCGTCAACCAAGCCATTCGCGGCCGCGACGTAACACGAATCTTCCAAGCGTCTGAGGACAAGCAGGTGGCCGAGTGCCTCGAGGAGATTGTCAAGGTTGGAACCGTGGATACTGAGACTGTCGGTTGTATTGCTGCCAAGGTCGTCTTGTACTGCACACTTACGCTCATTCTTGCCGTCGTATGCGCCAGGTTTGCGCTTGCGTTGATTTTCCAATGGTTCATAAGCCGCAACTATGCCGCTGCGAAAACCTCACAGACGTCGGATCAGAGAAAGAGGAATCGGCAGATTGAGGATTGGAGTGAGGACATTTATAGCGCGCCTCCCCGTCTTCCGGGCGAGGTCGGCAGTAGTGTCGCCGGCCCCGGCTCCGACAGGGGAAGCAAGCGCGTCAGCTCATTTTTGCCCACCACGTCTCGCTTCTCTTCTATCAACGCCGATCGCAGCATGAACAAGCGTGTGCCAACAACCATGGCAAGCCAGGGTGCTGGCAGCACCCTCTACCCTGGCTCCATTTACCAGCAGCGCAACGATAGCAAGACTAGCTTCCTTCGGTCTGATCCTTACGCCAGCACTACGAGCCCCACCGAGGGCCCTGGACCTGCTGGCTTCATTCATGAGGCCGTCGTTCCGCAGCCGCCGAGTGACTGGATGCCTTTCGGATTCCCTCTTGCCCATGCCATCTGCCTCGTTACCGCCTACTCAGAAGGTGAACAAGGTTTGCGAACAACGTTGGATTCGATTGCCATGACGGATTACCCCAACAGCCACAAGGTTATTCTTGTCATCTGCGACGGTATCATCAAAGGGAAGGGTGAGAAGTACTCGACCCCGGAGATTGTGCTTAGCATGTTGAAGGATCACACGATGCCTCCCGAGGAGGTCCAGGCCTTCTCGTATGTTGCCGTGGCTAGCGGTTCCAAGCGGCACAACATGGCCAAGATCTACTCAGGTTTCTATGACTACGGTGCCGGCTCTTCGATACCCGCCGATAAGCAACAGCGCGTGCCGATGATGGTTGTGGTCAAGTGTGGTACTCCCGATGAGATGCGGACAGCGAAGCCTGGCAACCGTGGTAAGCGCGACAGTCAAATCGTGCTCATGTCTTTCCTCCAGAAGGTCATGTTTGACGAGCGCATGACGGAACTCGAATACGAAATGTTCAACGGTCTCTGGAAGGTGACGGGCATCTCTCCCGACTTTTACGAAGTCGTTCTCATGGTCGACGCCGATACGAAGGTTTTCCCCGACAGTCTGACGCACATGATCTCGGCCATGGTCAAGGATCCCGAAATTATGGGCCTCTGTGGTGAAACGAAGATTGCCAACAAGCGCCAGAGCTGGGTGTCTGCCATTCAGGTCTTCGAATACTTCATTTCTCACCATCTGTCCAAGTCGTTCGAGTCCGTCTTTGGCGGTGTTACCTGTCTGCCCGGATGTTTCTGTATGTACCGAATCAAAGCGCCAAAGGGCGCCCAGAACTACTGGGTCCCCATCCTCGCGAACCCTGACGTTGTTGAGCATTACTCGGAGAATGTGGTCGACACTCTTCACAAGAAGAACCTACTGCTCCTCGGCGAGGATCGATACCTTTCGACACTCATGCTTAGAACCTTCCCCAAGCGAAAGCAAGTTTTTGTGCCTCAGGCTGTGTGCAAGACGACGGTTCCGGACACGTTTAGCGTGCTATTGTCGCAGCGACGTCGTTGGATCAACTCTACCATTCACAACCTGATGGAGCTTGTCCTCGTTCGAGATCTTTGCGGTACCTTCTGCTTCAGTATGCAGTTTGTTGTGTTCATTGAGCTGATCGGAACTCTGGTACTTCCCGCTGCCATCGCCTTTACGTTCTATGTTGGTAAGTTTTGTGCTTTTCGTGCTGCTATCATGATCATTATTATCCTTCATACTTGCGCCGATTTTTTTGAAAAAATATTTCCCTCCATTTATTGACAATACTAACATGCGGCTCCAGTAATCATCTCCATCATCAACTCACCACCTCAGATCATCCCTCTGGTTCTCTTGGGTCTCATTCTCGGTCTCCCTGCAGTCCTGATTGTGGTTACCGCCCACTCGTGGACGTATATGGGGTGGATGGTCATCTATCTTTTTTCACTTCCCGTTTGGAACTTTGTTCTACCGACGTACTCATTCTGGAAGTTTGACGACTTCTCATGGGGTGACACGAGAAAGACGGCGGATGAGAAGGTTAAGAAGGGAGGCATCGAATATGAAGGAGAGTTCGACAGCAGCAAGATCACGATGAAGAGATGGGCCGAGTTCGAGCGCGACCGTCGAACGCGCCTCCAATTCTGGTCGTCGAGAGAGAATATCGCCAACGGAGGAGTGTCGAGCGCTGGCGGATGGTCGGGGCCACCGGGCCAGGCGTACCACGATGACTATTATTCGGACGCGTAACCCTGCGTTGACTCCTCCTGGCTAAGGGAGGAATGATGAGTGTTTTTTCTTGTTTTGTTCCTTTTTCTACCATTTTCACGTCACGTCTCAGGTTCCTAGTAATATCAAGAAAGAAGACCTGGGTGGGCAAGAGGGGGCGAGGCGAGACTTATTGGCACGACACGTATCCCACATGAAAATCACTACTACTTAATGGAGAAGGGTTAGGAGCGTGAGCCTGGTTTCTTTTTTTCCTCTTTTTTCTCCGTTATTTTTTCCCTTTATTCTCATAACTTTGTATGCCACCCTCGCCCCCTTCCCGCCGTCTATTGTAACTTGCGCTTCAGTTTGTTCCGTTGGTTTCAACCCCCGTCTACTGTCTTTCCCTTTTTTAATTCCCCCATCTTGCTTAACGGTTGTTGTTGTGTATAGAGAGCGGTTTTCTAGGTGGCATCCGAGCGGCGTACATTCTTGACACCGAGTTTCTGTTAAGACGGTCCTATGTACATACTTTTATTCTTTTTCGGGGAGTTTTTCCACGTTCTATGATTTCCTAACCGGACTTTGTATGAGGCAAGCCAAGTAAAACCAATCTGGCTACGCCTGGTAGTTGTTTATGGGAGCCTCAAATACACATTTTGCACAACGCTATTTTTTTTTTTTTAACTGTTCCTTGGTTAGCTGCTGCGGGTGATCTTCTCGACCCCCTTTGAACGATTCAACGATTGGGTGTGGCGGCTAGAGGATAGCGCTGATGATGGTGGACGGGATGCGTCTGCACGGATAAAGGAGAATTTGGGAGGTTGAGTGATGTGCGTTTCGTTTTGTAGGTCGGCGTAGGAGGTTGATCGGGTTGATCTACGACTTTGATTGTTGTGGGTGGTATTTCCAGCTCCAAGCTCTATGTATGAAACGGGTATGGCATAGCCTTGCTGGGCCAGGCAGTTGTCCGAGGAGAAAGAGTTTGAAGTTAAGAGGCCCAACTGCAACGTCATTTCTCGTCTACTACCTGTGCATGCAACTCGCCCTTCACACCCTCCTATCATTTATGGTTTACCTTGATATTTCATGTCTACGCCGTCGAAGGCTACGAGGAAGCTAGAGAGGGGGGACAAGTGGTATCACCACAGACTCGGCAATCTCAACGTCGTGACAGAAGCAACAATCGTATTGGAGAGCAACAAACGGTTAGGTGCAGGAAGTCGTATGCTTTTGATGTACTTTGGGCTTGCGATTGAGGCTTGTTCGGTTGGGTAGATGCATTGAATCCTGACGACTTTCTTTTTTGGGAGGGTTTCTTTTTTTCTTTTTCCCCCCTTTCCCGCCCCTTTCTTCTCCTTGGAGGTTTCCTTTCCCCTTGCAGTCTTCGAAGCAGTACTTCGTTGACTGTAATGGATGCCATGTGGAATATATTTGGTTTCTCGGCAGCCAGAAGGATTTCCAAGGTTTCTCCGAGACCGATGAAGCGAATGATCATGGGCCAATTTCCATCTCGTCTCGTTGTCTTAGACTTCAGCCTCGATCTTGGGCATGAAACCATGTGGTTGAGGATTGGCTAACTTGAACCGGGGACGAGCAGGTTATTGGATCCATCTGACGAGTTTAAAGACAGATCGGGTGCGACAAACGTAACACCAGGAGATAGCAGATATAGTACTCTGCAGCACAAGTGCTCATGTACAAAGGAATATACGAACATACAAAGTGGTGCTCCCGCATGAAAAAAAAGAAACACTGGCATTTGCCAACCAAAGTAATTGCGTGCCGCACGAAGGTCCAGATGCAAGATGCAAGATTTCAATGTCTCCACGAAAGTAATATGCCAAACTCGGATCATATGGGCTAAAACGGGTGTTGAGAGATTAAGACGTGTGGCTCGAAAGAGACAGAGCTGCATGAATCAAATGCTCGAGGAGCAGCAGGACAGCGCAACAATGGCCCATGTTCTTGAGGGGAGGGTCGTTTCCCGGCTGGAGAAGGTTCCCCACAAAGGAGGACCGGGGGATGGGATTGATGACAACGTTGAGGGCGTTGGAGGAAGACCGTTCGCGGTGCAGTGCATGAGAATTGCTGCGTGCGGATGTGGGTGTGGTGGGTTGGTGGGATCCAGTCAGTCTGTTGGTGTACACGAGTACCCGGCGATTTTACATTGCGAGTCGACGTACTTCATACCTAGCATCAATATGCTTGGCTTCCCCAGCCCCAGGGGGAGCGATGCAGATGCATTGGTCTTGATCAATCATGGTGAATGAAGATGAAGGTTATCGCCTCAAGTCGATATCAACCTTGAATAGGCTGGGGTCGTCGTATTCGGCCGTAGGAAGAATAGTAGGAGCACAGAGGATTAAGAGTCGTTGTGCTACCTGTCTGTCATGAGGAGGAGAGTCTACAACTGCACTAGATCCACTGCCGTACAGTTACGATCACCACACATACATGGGACCGAGAGGTTGCAGCAAAAGGATAGACCTGTCAGACCTGTTCCATGATGCTGTGGGATCGAGACTCCGTTTACAAAGCAAGCAAGGCTCCTTATTATTAGTTTATATCAGAGGCGGTCTCGGTCGATTCGTATGTACTTTGTTGTCCACTTACTTGGTTACTTAGTTACTTGGTAGATGACATGAGTACCCGAGGTACAAGGCACACCGGTTGTTATCAAGTGGGCTAGTCTCAGCGAAGTACATGCAATTGTGGTAATTACCTTTGTACCTGTATAGAAGCAACATTATAGTCTACTTCGTACTAAACTTCGTACAGCATTTCGGAAATGCGATCGCCCACGAAGTCTTAGGGGATCTCACTTAAACTGTGTGCACCACCGAGATGGGCACAAGGCAGAAACACAATCACTGTCGTCGACTGATGAATAACATTGATTGATGGTTGCAGCAGGCTAATTTACCCCCTCGTCGTCCCTCATTCCCCGGTCCCTGTGGTCCCTTCTAGCGCTCGCTCTAAGGTCAGAGAGTCCGTGACCCTAAATTCTAAGATGGAACGGCGAGGTCTCAAGAGCCTTTGAAAGAGGAGGTACTCTGTGGTCTCCGCCCAGTAATAATGTACGTCGCTCAATACTAGGAAGTACACTCGCTCCATTGATACCTCCCCGCCCAGCCGCCGCGCTGATCTTCCAACCTCTCGAGTCCCCAGGTCGCCTGCCCACCGGCGCCATCGCTGTCACTGTCACACCTCAACTCGCACCTTCGCACCCGCGCAAGCTCCCCTCCACGGAGCGATATGGAGGACGTACTTGTACCTCAGTATCGATCATAATATTCCGTTGCTTTACAAATACTTCCTGCTTGTATTCTATTTTGCCGCACCTTCCTTCGTAATATTGCCTGGTCATTTAGCTCAAGCTTTTGTGCGGTGTGCGAGGGGCAGGAGCAGTGAGAAAAACAGGTTTGGGACTTGCCGTGCGCATCCATCCCCCAACAATGACCCAAAGTTTCAACAACCCCTCCTACAATCCTACAATGTACAGTACATCAAATGTAGGAAGTATCAATCTCTCCTCTCATCCCGCCAGCCAGGCCGATCGCCTGGCTGGTGAAGCCCCGCTCCGCCACCAGAGTACCTCACATACGAGGTACACTACAGAGCAGTCATAGGAACGCGGGAGCATTTGTTAACACTGATTGACTCGTCAAGTTCAAGCCTGCGCTATGGTCTAGCCACCACCTGAGCCTTTTCTTCCCCACCCACTCACGCTTCCAGTCACGCCGATACCCGCCCTTAGATGACCAAGGGCAAAGGGCAGGACCGAGTCAAGGGATTTAATCAAGTGGTTTAATGGCTTATTATTACCAACCAACATACCGTTACCCTAATGGGAACTTGTCGTCCCGTTGCCTTCAAGTCTGAAGCTGTGTAGTTATACTTCTACATGGCTGTCTAGACCCCAGACTTCAAGCCATAATTCCGCGACCCCAAGCAATTTCCTGCTCTGGTCCTTGTTGCAATTCAGACCCTGCGCTGACTCCGCCTGGCTGCAACTGCACTGGCACTAAACCGCTCTTGTCCCATGTCAGCGGAGACCCTACATATTTGATCAATGTGCGAAGTACGAAGTACACTACGAAAGGCGAACTTGAAGGCGCGAAGTAAAACTTTCAGTGTTGTATTGACCGTTGTCACTCCTCCGCTCCACCACCACCCTCCTCTGCCACTAGGAGCATTGAGCTCGGTGCCGAACGAATTAACCTTTAATTCCCCCACGAAGTTATTGAAGCCAGCCGTCGCTACGAAGGAGAGGGCATCCTGGTCGCCAACACTCCTTTCGCAAAACCCGGTCAAACTTTCTCTCTTTCCTCAACCCTCGATCATACAATCGTACCATCGTACCATCGTACACAGGCGTCTGCCTTTCCCGTGAGCACAGGCCGAGGAAAACAAAGAGGGAACAAAGGAAGCCTTGACCAACAGGAGGGTCTCTCCCTTGCGATCGTACCGCACCACCCTCCGCCAAAGTACAGAGCAAATCTTTCGGCCTTTTTTTCAGCTTTCCCTACGGACCGTCCCATTTATTCTCCCGCTCTGCTCCCACAAACCGTCACTCGAACACCCGTCCCGAGACACCCCCAAGCACCCTGCGCGAGCTCAACTCCGAGTCACTTCGGACGTACCCGACCCGGAGAAGCAACGCGAAAACGTTGGAAGGGAGGGGAGGATACAGAAGCCTCTGGCCCTCACAGTACCTGCGTCTCTGGTTGTTCAGTACAAGACCCATTCCCAAACTTGCTTGAGGCGTCTACGGAGCAAGCTCAACTAGGGGCCGGGGTGCGCCGTGTACGATTTGCAGCTGAGGGTGCGCTCCTTGATACTGGGTCTGAGAAGAGCTCGCGGTGACTGGTTGATTCCGGTTCCGGCTTCTTGGTTCTGACCAAGAGATATATATATATATATTGGAGAAGGAGAGGGAGAGGGAGAGACGAGGCGAGAAGAGCCCAGTGGTGGTGGCCGAGCTACCCCTCCTCCTTGTCGTGCGAGTCCTTTGCATTGTCTGTTGGGGCTACGTTCTTTCTTCTAACGACTTCCCTCAACATTTCTTATTTCTTCTTGTTGCGGCCGGTCCCAGATGCTGCTCGAGTCTAGGTGAAGGCGTGGTGTTCTGTCGCCCCCGAACCGAGAGAAGAATATCGGATAAGATCGAGCGACCTCATCAAAAGACCAACGAAGGATCGACCGAAACTTCACCATGTCCTCGGCGGGTCCCATCTTCGCGATCCCCGTCTACGAGGATTCCGGCTGCGACTCCGACGACCAAGACCACCACCTCGAGTCCAGCTTTGATACTATGTACGACGACGACGATGACGACGATGATGCGACCACTCTTAATCATGCTCCCCATGTCGCCCAGATCCCTTCTCAGTACACCACTCAGACCATGACGCCGCCCGGATACCCCTTCTTTTCCTATACCCACGACTACATGCCCGCACCCGACTCATCAGACGACGACGAGGATAACGATGGCGACGGTGACGTCGACATGAGCGATAGCGACGGGGGTGCGCCCCTCGGCTATGGAGGAGGACCTCTGACATTTACTACTCACGACTACCAAGGTCCACCGCCATGGCCAACCAGCTCGATGTTGAATATGCCCCAAACGCCATACCATCCTCACTCCGCGATACCTCCGTCCTACGACCAAACGAATCCTGCGAATAATACCGTTCCCATTCCTGTGCCACCCTTTTCGTCCCCCTCCAACTCTCACACGATACCCGAAACCGCAAACTCCTCTTTAATATCACCGCATCTGCCTTTCGTTGCCGCTATACCGCCTCAGCCATTTACCCCCCCTCAATTCTCCAGCTACAATAATATACCGCCGTCGAACTACCCATACAACCCCGCTCCCCCTCCCCCGCCTAATGATGATCTCGATACGGCCTTTCAGACCCCAATCCCATTTCCAACCCACCAACCTCATATGGTTACCCAGCTCGACGAAGATGCCGAGGAATTAGAGGGCCCGCACCCTCCTCCGGTGACCTCCTTCCACACAAACTCGGGCTTCCAAGGACCTCAGACACCGGGGATCCTCGGTCCTCAGAACCCCGGCTTAGTTCCCTTTCTGCGCAAATGGGCGCATCCCGGGCTCTCCCTTTCCAACGACACGCGGCCGCGGTTCCGAAGCCCGTGGCTGCCCACTGTCAACGAACTGGAGAATTCGCGTGTCAAGAGTGTGGACTACGATGATCTCATGGGTGACCAGTGCGATGTACAAGGCATTGACTGGACGCAGCTCGGGGTGACGCGTAGGGAAGCCCGCGAGCGGCGGCTGAACACGTATACCAATTTTGTTAACGTAGATGGTTCTGATGCTTTCAACGTATGTGTCACTGCCCTCATTTCGCCTCATCTCTTCATCTACACCCACATACATATTTTGCACGAGATGCTGACGGGATACCTGCTTGCAGCCGAACCGCTCGGACAGGATGCTTCAACGGAGCGAGAACTACTTTAGGTTCCGCCAAATGCATATCCGAAAGAACGTTCGATTAAATCACTTCCAGCTCAGGAACATCCTCGCCACCTCATCTAGAGCCAAGTCCTTCTATCCAGAGGCGCGGGGGATTCGTCAGATCAACCCCATCACGGGTAAGGATGAGCTTCTAATGGACCTCAAGGACATGGACGGAGGCGGCCTCGTATCCACGCTATCAGCGAACCGCCGCGTTCTGGTCGCCGGCACCTTTAACGGAGAATACTGCATAAAGAACCTTGAGTCGCGTGAGACGGGACATGTGGAAGGGCAGCTTACCGACGACACGAGCGGCATCACGACGCACGTTCAGGTGTATGAATCGCGTAACTCTTCCGGACCTCTAGCGGCGTTTGCTTCCAACGACCGCGGCTTCCGGATATTAGACGTAACAACGCAGAAGTTTGTCTTGCAGACCATGTACAACTTCCCCGTCAACTGCACGGTCCTATCGCCGGATAAGCGCCTGCGCATTATGGTAGGCGACCACTACACGGCCGTAGTCACGAACGCCGAGACGGGCGAGGTCCTCCAGGAACTCAAGGGCCACCTCGATTTCGGCTTCTCGTGCGACTGGGCCGACGACGGCTGGACGGTAGCGACGGGATCGCAGGACATGACGGTGAAGATCTGGGACGCGCGGCGTTGGAGCAACGCCAACGGCGAGAACACGCCCGTGTGCACCATTCGATCAGAGATGGCCGGCGTGCGTAACCTCAAGTTCTCCCCCGTCGGCAGCGGCAAGCGCGTGCTCGTCGCCACCGAGGAGGCCGACTTCGTCAACGTCATCGACGCCCGGGACTTTTGGCGCAAGCAGACCTTTGACGTCTTTGGTGAGATCGGCGGCGTCAGCTTCGCCGATGAGGGTCGCGACCTGCAGGTTCTCTGCTGCGACGGCGCGCGTGGTGGGCTCTTGCAACTCGAGCGGTGCGATCTCGGGGCCGAGGCGGCAGAGGCGGCTCTCTACGATCCGCTGTTTCACCGGTTCCGCGGTTGGAGGCATGATCGGGACCGGCATCGCGACGGGTTCGATTGGGCACCGTCGGTGGAGGAGGTCGTTAGTCATCCTCGGGCTACGGGGACGGTTACGAGGAGGAAGAGGAGGGCGGCTATGTTGGAGCCTTTGGAACCCTTTTGAGGTGAAGTGATGATGCAATGGAAGTTAGGGGTGGATGGGGAGGCGGTTGTCTATATGATCTTTTTTTCCGGGCGAGTGATATCCCTTCTTTTTTTTTTCTTTTTTTTTTGGTCATAGGGCCTTGGGGGCATTATTGATTCCTTCATTTTTTTTTTTTTTGGTTTAATGGATCATTGATACATTTACATGGCTACCCTGCAGCATTTTCTTTTCTTCCATGGGGCAAAAAAGAGGGATTGGCTCTGCAGTTCAGGAGGGGTTCTTCGCATTGGAGTAATTTCATGATTCAAGTGTTTGGAAGGATACCGGACTTTGCTTCCTGTCTCGCATGCTAGTTTCATCTTTCACCTTTTTCAAGCGAAGAGATACATATTCCTTCAAGGGAAACAAACCAGAGTATTTCTTCTTTCCTCCTCTTTTTTTTGACATATGCGAAGTGCTTTGGTTATTGGTATTGGGCACATTACAATAGGAGAGGCACATACTTGAATACTCATGTTGCTTCTCTTACCCTCTCTTACTGTTCCCCTGAAGGGTCTTTACTTCGAATTGTCCCCTGCGAGGGTAAGAAGCGTATGGGATTATATGGGATGGGTTAGGGGAGGAAGGAGATACAAGAGAATAAACGCTGGCCTTTCTTGATGCTATGGGGCTAGAACACGAGATCCGAGGGCCGACATCTCTTGTAGCTAGGGGTAGGCAAAAAGAGTGAGAGGAAAATAATAAAATAGATCTACTTGATGCCGGGGGCAGGGTCAACTGGCCTTCATGTTGCTGGCAGAGAGCAGAGAATGTGCGCTTTTCTTTCCTCCGATCCCATCTCGATCGACACCGCTTTCGAGCTTGTCGACTCATCGATAGTTAGAATCTAGAAAAATGGAATTGATATCTAAGTTTAAGGGTCTACTTTTTGATCCTGGCAAGGCGGCCAACCGCCCCCTCTATGTTGTGCTTGGTCCCTTTCTTACCTCACCCTTCCTAGAGAGGGCCCTCATGATATGCAAAGTCAGATTAATTCAGTTATACAGACCCATTGGTCTCAAACATCAGCTGTAATATACCCGTTAGATATTGAACGAAGCACACCAACCATACACGAGAAAGGTAGGATTAAGATTTGGACATTTCTAGAGCCGCCTTTAATTCCAATGGCTGCAGTAGTGCCGTCAACAACGTCCGATCGCGACACCCCGAAGCAGTCTAGCGTAGATTTTAGGGAGGAAGGGAGCGCAGGTCGGGCGCCTCAAATGAGTCGAGATTTTACTCGATGTGGACGATGTGGGATGAATGAACCCAGGGATTGCCGAGTCTTTACTTCGTACAGATCAATGTAAACCACGCGAGAGCTTGTAACCCATGTGATCTTTGCTCGACATTGGAGGTCCTCGAGGAAACTGGACACGACTTGACACACAGAACCTCCATCGCCCAATCACTGTCCGAATAATAAACATAATTCTCACCTCAGGCCACCATACAAACCATTAATAGCACTTATCCTTCGTCACCTTCCCTTAAGCATGGTAGACTCATATGGCACTGAAAATAATGGTTTAAGATTATCAAAGTGATCATGACATGGCGGAGAGACACTCTCACATAACGTTTACAACAGTGAATGGTCAGGAGTAGAGGGTCATCAGGAACTAGAACATCTTCGCAACACACACACACACACACACACACACACCACTTAAATATCTCGGCAGCAGACAGATGGGGAATGAAATCCATGACCATAAGAGAACGAAAGAGGGAAGAAGCATTAAGGTTCTCCCCTCGGCAAGTGACGCTAAGAACAAAACGAGATCCACATATATAAAAGAACAAAGCAAAAGACGCTAATTAATTGGCTTGTAACATCTAATCATTATCCAAGAATGCTCAAGTATTGACAATATTCCCTCTTCTATTCTCCCAAGGCCATGAAAAAAAAGTTGACAGTAGGTAGGACATTACTTCAGTTTCGGGCTTCTTTGGTTTAGAAAGCACCCTCAACGTTGAAGTAAGGCTCGCAACCGCAAGAGGTAGGATCCTTCCAGAAGGCCTTGCCGTAGGTGAAGAAGACGACATCCTCGCCGCAAGACGATCGGATGGAGCCGATGGCCTCGGCCTGCTCAGCGACACCAGGGCAGGCAGCGCCATTGCAGTTACCCTGAGTGGGCCAACCGCACTCGAGAGAGATGGAGCGCTTGCCGCAGATCTTGGCGACGATATCGAGCTGGCCGCGGACGAAGGTGCCAGCGGCGGAGGGCGAGGTGTTAGCATTGAAGTAAGGGTGGGTGTTGGCACCACCAATGTCGATGGAGTCGCAGAGGACGCTACCGTCACGCTGCCAAACATCGACAGTCTCAGCCGTGGTGAAAGGGCCGGTGTAGCCGGCGCCAGCAATGATAGACTTGCAGGTGTCGATGAGGCCCTTGAGCTGGCCAGCATTGCAGTGACCGCCGAAGATAGCCTCGTTACCGATGACGGCAAGGCTGACGAGGTGCCACTTACCCCAGGCGACGAGCTCCTCGACCTGCTGCTTGTGGACACCGCTGTAGCCACAGCCAGCCTCCTTGACGAAGACACCGATGATAATCTTCAGGCCCTCAGCCTCAGCGGCGTCACCGACATTGGCAAGAGTATCGCAGTCGGTAGAGTAGATACGGACGGTGTCGAAGCCGAGGGACTTGATGTTGCGGATATCAGCGAACACCTCGTCGCGGGACTTGCAGAGACCGGCGTCCTCGGTGTAGGGGGTGTAGGTGATGGCCCAGTGGTCCTTGCCGTTGCCACCAAGACCAGTGCTGGCGGTCCATTCCTGAGTGGGCTTGGAAGTCTCGGCGGTGGTGGGAGCAGGGGCCTCCTCGGCAGGCTTCTGGGGAGCCGGAGCCGGAGCAGGCTCGGGCTCAGGTTCAGGCTGGGGCTCGGGCTGGGGAGCAGGGGTCGGGCCACCCTCGAAGGGGCAGACGGTGACGTAATTGGTCGCGGTCACAGTGACGGTGGCGGCGGGCCTGGTGTAAGTGCCGGGCTCGTAGCTGGTGGCAACGGGGTAGACGATCACGGTCTCGTCAACGGTGACGGTGCTGCTGGAGGCACCAATAGTGTAGGTGCCGGGAGTCGGGCAGACATAAGTGGTCTCCACGATGGTGCTGGTGATAACACCGTCGACAGTCGTCTCAGTGGCAATAGGGCAGACGACCGTGGTCGACGTCTCGACAACCGTCGTGACACCACCGAAGGTGTGGGTTCCGGGGCCAACCTTGGTGGCGGTAGCCGCGCACACCGTAGTGCTCTCAGTGACGGTGATGGTGGTGGCATCCCACGAGTAAGTACCGGGGGTAGGGAAGATCTCAACCTCGGGCGTGGGGAGGATATCGACAATCTCGGTCTGGACCTGGGTCTGGATCTCGGTCGTGGTGGGCTCGGGCTCGGGACCGTGCTCAATGACTACGGAGTAACGAAGTTTAGTGATGTCGCCCTTATGCGATCAAAGACAATAGACGAATCATGACACGAAACGAAAATACCGAAACATGTTGGTTGACCAAACTTGGCCTAACCAAAACCATGTCTCGACATCTCCCATGACATGGCCGCAGCCAACTATCACGCTTATCGCTCAGGATCCGGGGCGACCATGTTCAACGGTACCACATCTGTGCGTATGTTGTTGTGCAAGCGGGAGAGTGAATGTATTCCAGCAACTTACAGGTAGGCTCGCCGTAGAAAGTCTCCCAGACGGTGGTGCACTCGGGGACACAGGATTCGAGACCGGCCCGCCGGGCAAACATATCGTGAGCCCGTCGGTGGTTGTGGGCGTGAGCGGCGGCGTTGGCAACGCCAGCCACAGCCGCTACGGCAGCAACGGAGGCCTTCATTGTCTTTTTTTGTCTTTTCCCAAATATTTGAAAGAAAATATACAATATATATTAGTCGAAACCTCCTTTCGTGGTCTTCGTAAAGAATGCCCGCTGAACGAGTGAAGCGGTAAGTTGGATTGCGTGGGTTGCAAGAAGGAAACAGGAAAACGAAGAAGAGAAAGCGAGGTGAGGGTGGATCTTGCTTTCTACATGTAGTCGGGACGGCTCCGTTTTTAGATGGAGAAAGGAGAAAGGAGAAGGAGAAGACCCAGGGGGGAAAGAGTAATGAGAGAGCCAAGCAAAGATTAATACCATTGGCGGGTCCCCCGAGTTGCTCATCTCCCCAGGGGACTTGGCTCCTTCCAGCCACGGGCAGTGCTTGTCTGTACCTCGACAGGGCAGGGTGTGATTGCGAAGCTAGCAGGCCACCCTACCGAGAAGACCACGCTTGTTACCATTGCGAAGCAAGTATCGCCAACACAACCCTGACCCTGGCGACCCACGTCTCTCTGTCGACTTGGACGAAGATGGGTGGACGAGAGGTAGTTCAATGTTTTGCGGTGCAGAAGTACCCGTACTTCCAGAGAAAGAGAGAATTTTGACATAACCTCGAGAGCTTGACGTGTGCGTCCTTCCTCTCCTGCGTTGTGCCTGGGGATCGGACCCCTGTCACCAAATTACCGGGCTAGCAAATGTAGTGGTACTTTTCAGGTCCGTCCTGCACCTTCCTCCTGCAGGCACCGATTCGGTCAGCCAATCATGCCTCTCCTGCCTTCAAGAAGCCCCACAAACACAATCTGACGGCGGTAGCTTCGGCGTACTCTTGAGCTGTCGAGCGCCCTTGTATTGGACGTTTCAGGTACCTAAACTCTTTTGATCGAGAGCGTTTAATCTCCCGAGATTTCATTTTGGGATGATGGTCGAGTCACCGGTACAATACGCGCACAGTCTTGACCAAAGAGGGCCGTAGGAAGTACTCTCCTCGACTTGTCTGCCCCGGTTCTGTCCCTGAATGGCAATGTATCGAGATGATTAATTCATTTATTCTCCACGATCATACGGAGTAGGCGTTGTGCATCGTGCACATCTTCAACGCATCCAGTTCCCACGATAATAAATTATTAGTCCATCCACCAGTGAACCGCACAGCGATCTGCCAAGAAATCAATTGATCTCGTTCTCCAGATTTCAGTCAATGATACCACTCCTTTGGCTTTAGACTTTGAGATCTTCAATCGTTGATCATAGTTTAGGATTAGGGAGTAATAACACGGTGGTTTTACACTACTTCGTACATCGATGTATGGGAAAAGCTCCTGCACGACCTCCACAACGAACGAAGCAGGCTTGTCCAGAACCGATCACTAATATCGAGTCTTTACGCACCAATGCATCTCGAGACCTCTGATTCTTAACCCTCGTCTCTCTCCTTTCAGGCAGTACTTCGTACTACTTATTGAACCAACATAAACGTTCTGAGAGAAGAGGGATAACATCTCGCAGGAGCAACATTCCCAGACCAGATCAATAGTAATCAGTACGTAAATGCTGAGGGCGGATTAGGATGGGATGCACACCACGCCGGGGTTATCCGCTGAACGAGAATGTACTTCGTACGAATGGAATCGATGCGTAATCCCGAATTTCTGGTGGACCAGTTTGTCAAAACTCAAAGGTACACTTGAAGCTGTGGGTATGATGGAGGTGACCCTGCTTCGCAGTAATCTCAGATAAGGTTGACCAATTCCACTTCGTCCTTCGCGGTGTACAATTCGTTCAGTTAAACGCGGACGTGTTGAGCTCAAAACGAGTGGACCACCGGACACCACGCATAATAGTCAGGAGAGCATCTTCATCTCCCGGACTGCTCTCCACAGATAATTAGCGCAGCCCGGTTCTTTTCCTCGTAAACAATGTGGACAGGCGAAAACACGTGCGTGGCACTCGTACCATTGTTCCATTGACATTTACAAAGAATTACTCTATTTCTCTTGTTCAAGTAGAGGAAGAAAAAAAAAATACGAATATGTGTATTCTCCGTATGCATTTCTTAGTTCTTTCCAACTGCCTTGAAGTCTGGGCATCCTCAATTGAACTTATTTGTAGTGTCCAAGTTTTGATGTAGTATAAGTAAGTCAAGACCCCTGCAAACCGGCCACCCCCCCAACCGGCCACTTCTCAAATCCAGATTTATAATATACTACATTTAGCACAAAGGTAATTAAAATATAATAAAATTCTTATTAAATATACTATAGTATATTAATTATATAGAAAAATTTATAAAGTAAAAGATTAAAATTTTAAATTTCTAAGAATTTTTAAAGAGAATTTATTAAAAATATTAATTTATTATTTATTAATTAAGAAAAAATAATATAATTATAAAATAAGTTAAATATAAAATTTAAATAAACTTTCTATATATAAGTTTAAAAAGTATATTATTTTTTTAAATTTTACTTATTTTAGACCCCTATAAATTTTTTTATATAAAACTTTTAAAATTTAATTTTAATAATAAAATAAAATAAAATTAATTTTTTTAAATTTTAAATTTTATAGATTTAAAATTTATTTAAATAATAAATAAAATAAAATCTTTACTTTTATAATATTTTTTTATATTTTATTAAGATTTAATAAAATAATATATATTTAAATAATTAAAAATATATATAATAATTTTAAAATAATTTTATAAATATTTTTATATTAGTATATATATAATAAAAAAATTATTAAATATAATTAAAAATTATAAATATATATAGTTTTAAATTTATATAACTTTTTTTAATATTAAGAATTTATATAGAAATATTAAGAAAACTTTAATATTTATTTTATTTCTATTTTACAAGGGTCTAAATTATTAAGTAAATTTATTATATTTATAATAATATTTTATTAAATTAATATTAAAAATCTATATTTTAAAAATAGTTAGCTTATATAATTAACTATTTTATTTAATTTTATATTTAAATAAAACTAATTAAATAAAAGTAGTTATTTTTATTTTTTATAAATTTAATATAAATAGTAGACTTATAAAAAGTTAGATATAGCTTTATATACTATTAAAGTATTTATTAATAATTTTACTATATTTAATATTTTAGTATAGTATATATAATAAATTCTTATCTAGTTCTGGAAAGTGGCTGGTTGGGGGGGTGGCCGGTTTGCAGGGGTCTTGACTTACCTCACCAAATCCCTTGTAGGAAGTCTGGCTGACCGAAGCTACAGTGGGGAAAATCTATTTCATGGAGGGTGGCGTCAGTGACGGTGGGGACAAAAACATCAAATCAATCGAAATTAGAGATGTTCGGTCCATTTGATGTCCTTCACTGCACCAAAAATTTCGAACATTTTGATGAGTTTTTTCACGTTCCTGGATCGTTCCTGGCGCACTTTCAATTGTGGGGCAAATCTTGTTTGTATTACAAGGACAGTGCCTGGATTTTTAGCGCAGTTTAACGCATCATCGCCAGCCCAGCTGCGTCAGCCTCCCGAGGAACGAATCGCCACCGAACATTTTAGGAAGCTTTCCTGCCTTCCTTTTACAATTCCCCCTTCTTCGTAAATGAGTGCGCCCTAGAAGTACGAAGTAGTATGCTACATACATGCCGGTGCTGCAGCCACCAGGCAAATACCCCTTACTTTATACCCCAACAGCAGAGGCTGACTTTTCAGAGCTGTGCTCCCTTGCAACTGCCAAGACGCAAGCAACAATGCCCATAGCCTACAGGTGGAACTCTTCAATCCCTACTTCGCACTTGCCAACCTCGTCGGTTAACGTCCGCGAGAAGAGGACGAAGAGAGCTTTATGAGCTGTCAAGGTACAAAAGGAGTGGCCGTGGTTGTGACAGTAACAGCACCGCATGCCGGGCGGGGCGACAGGTTTAAGCGATATTGTCCTGTTACGAGGTACACTGGGGAATGATCACCCCCTTTTTGTTAGTGATTGTGACATTAACGACACTGAACTTACGGAGTATCTCTGTACACTACTAATATCCCATCCCCTATCACGAGTACGAGGTAGAGTCGGTAATTGAAGGTGTTACGGGGCTCATCGAGCAATGACAGGAGTGGAAGTTCCCGAGAAAATGCCACATCCGCACCCCATGTGAGGCCAGGTTCCACTCCGATCCTGATCAAATGGAGTCGGACTGGCTGGTATATCCGGGCTTGCGGCTGGATCTTTCTCTCCAAAGTATTTCTTAATTCATGAACGGGACCTGCTGTTGATGCTCTCGAGCAGGCATCTAGTATGATTAGCGAAATGTGGGCGAGCCAGGTCAGCGAAGTCCACTCCCAAACTCTCCATAATCATTATCATTCTTTCATGCGGTACTTCCTCTGTTGAATGTGTATGTAATTATATATTGTTCATCCAAGGGACACGAGCCAGGCCAGGCCAGGCCAGGCCATCTCTCCCTGGGAAGATCAGCGATGAGCCGAGGAGAGAGTGCCGCGCACTGACTGACTGGACTCAACTGGACCGCATTTGGCCTTGCGCAGGAACCAGCCAGGCAATATTGACTCCAATGAAAGGCAATGTCTGTGCAGATCTCTCTTTCTCTTCACTCATCGTATGGTTGTGGATGGGAATACCGCCGATTTTTCTCCTCCCCTCCTGACCCCTAGTCGATGAGGAAACAAACAAACTACGAAGTATTAGCCTTTCTCGTGGGCTCCGGTGTCAATAAGCTCTTCATTCGTACTCACGTATATATACCGAGGTATACCATACTTTGTAGTAATGTATCCCCTTTGTTTTTCCTACGAGGCAAGTTTCGCTTCTTCGATCCGGCAAAAGCCCCTCTCCGCCCCCGGTAACTTCCATGTTACTTGTCCGCTAAGCGCAAGAAACCAAGGATTGAAAGAAGCCAGGTTAACGATCCTCACCTTTCGAGAAGCTCCTTCATTCCATCCCTATCCAAATCTCAGCCTCGTCTCCGACCGGGCATGGGAAAGAGGAGGAATAAAATAGGAATAATATTTCGAAAAAAAAAAATTTTTTTTTCTGCTTTTACTTTACAGGCAAGTGGAGGAACTATAAAGCACGTTCCCCCCCATGACTGTATTTTCACCTAGTAATAGAGATGGTCTTGGTGGAACCGCTATGGAGATGAGTTTATCTCGGTAGATTCATGGGTTTATCTTGGGGAGAAGTAATATTACGAGGTAGGGAGGATATGAGACTGCCCGATGAGACTCTACGTGCCATCTCTAATCTGGCGTATCCGGTCGGCAATATAAAATGTTAGATGAAGAGACCCCCCATCTCCAATACTACATCCGCGAACTTGCTCTGTATTCGTGTACTGCAAATCATTCATTCACTGGGTGGTGTTCTGAAGCAATAACAGCAGCCCATTCGGTCTCGCCTCTAAACAGAGTCTTCTGTTCCCCTGCCAGGCTTGCTCCTATCGTACTGACCGTACTCCCACTTGGGTTGAGTGTGCGGTGTTTGATGCCGTCCCGCATCCTAATCATACATGATCAGCACTACCAGGTCTCTTCAGAATTGTGAAGGTGCGCCCACTCATTATTCTCAGTGTTCCCCTCGAGGTCTGATGAGTTTTGCTTTCCACGTTAGGAATCCGATCGATGTGGAGACCTCACAAAAAAGCAATCAATACATATCTCGGTAACACAGACAAGGTAAAACATAAGCTGGCTGCCGCCACAGGCTCTTCATCAAGAACCGTAACTTTCTACTGGCTAGTATTGGCTGAAGCGTGATGAGGCATGGATATTTTCGATCTGAGTCTGCATATGCAGCCAGCCCCCTTTACATTCTTGATATGCGGATCGAGTCGTGGTAGGGCATGAGACCTGCATTCCTGATGAATAACTGGACAGGTGGACAGAAGTATGATTTTTGAAGATGTCTCGTACGTTCTATATTAGCTGTCTCGTAGCCTGAAATTGTTGATGGTGGCTTTATAGATACGTCTTGCACGCTTGCGTTATCGATGGCAGTCGACGCCCTATCCTAGGACCCGGCATAGGTCCTCCCACATGGCTCGAAGAGTTTATCTGCCAAAATCTTCCATGTAAAGTTTCGATCCGAGGATGTGTGTTCTCCTGCGGTTCCCTCTCCAGGTGCCACCTCAGAAAGACATGTTCGACCGACAGGCAGACTCGATATCAAAGTCGAACTGCTTCCATGAGAGTGTTAAGTAGTGTCGTGTAGAGTAGGGCAGCCATTATTCTGCCCAACTTTTGAGTAAAACGAAGGTCATTCAAGTCGTCAAGGCCTAGAGCAAGAAGAACTTATTCCTTTCCCTTTTTCTCCGAAGGTAGTGGCGAGTGCGCAGGGAGGAGTGAATCGGGACTTTGCAAGCACCAGTTCCCTAGTCAATATCGAAGTGTTCTCATGAATTCGGAAACTGCCAGAAAGGTTGCCAGTCCGCGCCGTATTACGGAAGCTCGATACCCCAGACTTCTTCCTATTTTATACGCACTGAATCTAGGTTGAATCTCAAGATGGAAGTTCTTCCAAGTGGCGGTGGTGTAAGTGAAGTCTGGAATCACGTGATAGCGCGTGGGCGATAATATCGTGACGTAGGGACAAGAAATGGTGCTTGAAGAAAAAATGTCAAGCGAGCGCAACGTGTGGAATATTTCCACCCGAACTTGATAAGATAGTCCCGCATGCTTCCGGACCAGTCGCGATGCTCCGGATAACCTGTAGGCAGTCAAGATGCCGCGGTCTCCGGTGTCCGAGTGGTCTTGCGCGAGCTCCAGTCGTGGCCTCCCAGATAGCCTTCCATGAGGCTGCACAAGACGTTGCCACCCCGCAGAGAAGAGTAAGTTATCGGGCTTCTGTGATCTCAATCGAGAACAGGAAGAAAATGTGTGCGCAGAATACTAAATATGTCGGTTTTGTAGTCATATGCCCAACTATATGGTCAGCGCACTGCACAAAAGCTAGTCGACGAAAACTTCCTCGCAGACCTCGAGAAGCGATCAACGATCCGAGAGACCTTGAAGAAATGGGAGCTCGACAACCCGCAAGAAAATCAGTTCACCGTGTCAGCGTCGCTTGCGCCGGGCGAAACCCCCAATGACATGTTTAAATCTCAGGCGCTCTCCGGAATGAGAGAGGCTCGGCAGGTTAACGAAGCTGAGGATGGGGAGTTCGCCGTGGATGAATTCGATACAATTGATAGTGTTTCTGCGGCACCGACGGAGATGCTGCGTCCCGGAACACTTATAGAACTAAGGTATACTTGGGTTTTATAGTGCCGGACCATGGAGGACCTCGTATAGCTGACTCCTAGCAGGTTGTCTGACTCTCGAATCCCGCTGCTGGCCATAATATTAGGTCGCTTCTCGGGTGTGTATTACTTCCTCGCAAACGGTGGACAGTTGACCGCTGATGAGGGGATCCCGTCCGTCCTCTTCAGCGTCGCCAATTTCGCCACTCCCACAGAAATGCAGGGTCTCGTGGATTTCATACCCAAGGACAAATACATCCACCCGCGTGATGTCGCCAATTTATACCAACCTCCACTCGAGCTGGGCGCGCATCTGCAAAAGAAGATGACAGACTTTACCACCGCCTCTAGTCTCCTGTATCAGAACAACATGACTGCGTTGTCCGCGGCTGATAAGAAACTCCCCCACGCCACCGAATTCTCTACAATGAGCCTTGACCAGATCGCCCGAGTGTTGCTGCCAGATAAGGCGAAGAGAAATGGGCAGTACGGCCCGGAGATGCTTTACGCCGTCCACATCGCACTCATGAATGATGAAACCGACAGCTTCCGTCCGTTAAATAAGATACATGCAGCAAAGCATGCAAGCTACCTCTACAGGATCACTCCAGCCAGTTCGGTCCAGGTCATCCGCAAAGTGCGCACGCAAGTTCGCCAGATAATGGAGGGACTGGGCCATCAAAAGCTCGGCAAAGGCGGCGATAGGGGTGCACTAGTGAACAACAGTCTGTGGAGATTTATCTTGAAGGCTAGACGAGTGATCAAGAAGAGCCGAGCGAACCGAGCCTGGACGGATCACGGCATGCTGGTGCCGCACTACCATCCCTACACGACGTTCCAAAACTGGACAGAGGAAGACAAGGAGTTTCTCCACTTCATCGAACTGTGGGTCGGCAGCCATGTGCACCGAGGCAGCACTCTGCACACCTTCGGCTCCGCCATTCTCCATCTGACCAATATGTACCAGCCCGCGAAGCAACTCAACGCGGCGACGGGCTGGGCTTTCCTACAGGAGCTAGGCTGGATCCCATCATGGGAACTACCTACGCGCCACAAGTCCCCAATTCCAGGGGCGAGAGTGCAGAGTGGAGGTGGATATATCCGGCCGTCCCCGGGACCCTTCTCGGAATCGATGAGAGAAGACGTTGCCGCAGATCACAGGCGGGATTGGGGTCCTCTTAGGTCTTACTGCATCGACGCCCCGACAACTACTCTGCTGGACGATGCCATCTCTCTCGAAAGTACAGACACTGCAGGAGAGTATTGGATTCACGCACACATTGCCGATCCCGCGGCGTTCATCGATCCCAAGTCCAAGCTCGCCGATTATGCGGCCATCATGGCAATGGATCACTTCATCCCCGGATACCGGTGCAGTATGTTTCCGACCGACTTTTACGACGAGGTCGTCATGAAGAAGTTTTCACTGGACAAGGGCCGGCCCTGCTTGACCTTTAGTACAAGGTTAAACGAGGAAGGGGAAGTGCTTGACGTGAAGATCCAACCTGGTATCCTTCAAAACATAACATTCCTAACTCCGTATGATGTGGACGCCTTTTGTCCGCCGATACGTGTAACGCCAGAACCAAATGGACTGAGCCGGTTGGTCGTCGGCCCCGCGCAACAACAGTATATACCCGGCGAGCGGCGAACCATGAGCAAAGTTAAAGACCTGTCGGAAGCCGAGAAAGAGGATCTCCAGACGATGCACCGCCTTCTCAAGGCCGTGGACGACGTGCGTCTAAGGCGCGGCGCCATCCCGCAGTCCCGATCCTCGCGCTCAATTCGAGTCAAGTTCAACGGCGCCGGGTCCCCCGAGCCGCCCCGCTCCGAGGACCCCCAGGCCCCAACGTGGCCCGGCGATCCAGCCATCGAAGTGGCATTCGACGAGCGCAAAGACGGCACGCTAGTCGGCATGGCCATGATGCTCGCCGGCGAATCCGCCGCAAAATGGTGCTCCCGCCGCCACATCCCCATCCCTTACCACACCCAGCCCGGCGCTCTACGCAACCCTCAGGGTCTCCGGGCACTAGGCGAGCAGATCCGCGCCATGACCGACAGCGGTGAAGCCGTGCCCATGAGCGTGTGGCGCGCGTTTGACCTCGAGACGGGACCGACGGCGCAATCCGTCGAACCTAGCCCCATCATCCCGCTCGGGCTAGAAATGTACACGAAAGTCACCTCGCCGCTGCGTCGCCTCGTCGATTGCATAGTACACTGGCAGATCCACGCGGCGCTCGCCGAGGAGGCGCGTCTGTCGCGCTCCCTCGCCGGCGAAGACTGCTCCGGCGCGTCGTTCCTACCCTGGGACACCCTCGCGCTCAAGGCCAAGCTCGAGTCCCTCCGCCTCAGCCACTTCGTCTCACACACGCTCAGCCGGAGCCAGGGGTCCCGCCCCTGGCTCTACCAGGCGCTTCTTCGCGCGTGGAAGTTCGGCGAGGCCGACATCCCCGACACGTTCAAGTTTGTCGTCTCGCGCGCGTACGGACACCTGCTGATGGGCGAGCTGGATTATATGGGCTTCTCTGCCATGTTGAGGAAGGGCGATTTGGAGGGCGTGGCGCTCATGGCGGATGTTAAGGACGGGGATGTGTTGGAGGTAGAGATTGTAGATGTTAATGTGTACGATATGCATGTATTCGTGAGGGCTCTCAGGAGGCTGGAGAAGCCGGTGAGCGTGTAAGAGTTATTATTAGGTTTATTCTCGACTTGGTTGGTCAAGGTTTCCGCGGAAAGAAAAGCATGGGTGGTTGGTTCGGGGCTTGCTGTATGTAAGTTACTTCTGGGGAGATTGTATGACTACTACATGATAGATAGACACAACTCACGAGATATACAACAACACACGAATATAGACAAAATATCAATGGTTAATGACACCTCAATTGGTTCTATTACTCGTCGCCCCGATCTAAACTGTTGAAAGCCCGTAGCATGTGCCCTTTGCGAGGCTAAGAGCAGGGGAGACGAAGTCGCACCAAAGAATCAGCTACCTCCCGCAATTCATATTCGATCCTCCACCCAAATCCAAATCCACAAGATACAGATAGATGATTCCCTTAGTTTCCCACGACCGTTAGAAAGCAGAATTAACACCCCATTATGAAAACCCGCGTTTGCTTTTAAAACAGAAAAGAAAAGGAGGATGATAGAAAAGGAAAAAGAAAAAGAAAACCCCTTTGATTGTTGGACTCCTTAGATGCCCTGTAAACGCCATTGCTGAGCAACCAACCTGCCCAAAACATGCAAGATCACAAGAAACACAAGATAGAATCAATCCCTTGGGAACCCCAACCCCACCTTCCCAGCATGTTTGAAAGCATTTTTTTTGAAAAATATGAGAAAGATCCACGCTTCCCTCGCCCCCATGCTCGCCTCCGTGTTGCCGAGTACAAATCGAAAAGAAAGTTGGGAAGAAATAAAGAAAGGAAAAGGCAAAGGAAAGACCCAAAAGACTACCTTCGGTAGGTATCGCTGGCCAGCTCGTGTCAGGTCGTCGTGTTTCGGCACTCGGGCCAAATTGGCCATCGCTGGCACCTCTCCCCCCATGTAATTCAATTCCATAGAATACAGACACCTGATTGACAAAGGAGATAGGAAATGAAAAAAAAGCAGGTATGATAACATAATAATATCGTACTTCGTAGGGTTGGGAGAGATACTTCTCTCAGAGGATCTCCTGACGTTCGTCGGACATCTCGGCGTGATGGTGTAAGACATCGGAGGGCGTATTACGAGTGGAGGTGAAGAAATTGTCGGATGTGGACGCAGGTGTGATTAGCGTGAAACAAACTGGGTTTTCTCTTCACTTGTTTCACTTTCTCCAGCCAACATTCCAGATTACGTGGGCGATGTCGCGGGCCGTGTTGACCGTGTCAAGCACGCGACTGAAGAGTCCGCCATTTCCTGCTTGCGGTTCTGCCTCGTCGCAAGGCATGAACATGCCGGAGGGCGTGCGGCGCATCCCGGCAGGCTCGGCCGTTAGACTGCTGCTTGATGGTGTCCGACGTAGGGCAGTTGTAGTTCGATCAAAGGAAGCGGTTCCATCAGCAAAGAAGGCATCTTCGTCAACATCCTCTTCCTCCTCAAAGAAGAAGCGTCTCGTCTTGGGGGACTTCACGGTCTCCGCTCGGAGAGTCTCTTGCGATGACGATGGGGAGACAATGGGGCTCCGGTATACTCGGGGGCCGTGCTTCATGGCGGTTTCCAGCTCGGAGGTTTCCTCACGATCCTTGAGAGTCGTCGATGGCAACATTGCAATCGTCTTGCCTTCAGATACCTTCGCCTTTTTCTTATTACGCTTTAGGGGCATTTTCCGCCGTCTCGAGGTTCGCTTCATCATAATTGCCCCATCATCCGAATCGCTAGATCCATACTGATCCACAGGCGTGTCGTTGCCATCATCATCGCCTCTGATATCGACAGCAATACACTGCTCAACTTGCTCATTGAAATGGATTCGTTTCCTCCCCGAAGTAGGTGAGATGATTCCGGAGCTGGAGTCGGAAGGCGGAACGCTCGTGTCACTGCTCTCTCGCGGCGACGAGAAAGGGAAGGTAACGTAGTCGGTGGCTGCTCTGTCGAAACCCGGCCGGCTGTATCCCCGCCTGGGATCTTTCTCCTGCGCTTGCACAGCAGCCGCCGCCTGCTTGAGGAGAGACGAGCTGGAAAGGGATCGCCGCAACATTATTTCGGACATGCTGCGCTTCTTTAGAATTGGTTTTTTGTTGATGAAGGAGTTCGTTTTGGATAGCGTCGAGCTTCCCGCCTCGGGGTCTGTCGTTCGGCCCGTCGAAGTGTGTGGGGTTTGTAACGGTCCGTACAACCAAGTAACGTCGCACTCCTTGAGCCTGTTGAGATAAAAAGTTAGTATACGGCGCGGCTTTTCAATTCATTTTCATGTTTCGTTCCCGAAGAGCGGGAGCAAGGGGGAGAAAGAGTCCATAATGGGTTGGGGGGGAACACCAATTTAACTATCACATACCAGTTTAACGTCTCGGGAGAGACCGTCTTCAGGTTATTCTTGGCCTTGAGCCACGTCCTCCACGAAGCGTTCTCGAGTCGCGCAGCGTTCATGTAATCCTTGCGACGGGACACAATGTATCGCCACGATGACCAGATTTCCTCTTCGGTCCAATTGTGCGAGAGATAGTCGACGTGGCGTGTAGGTTGTTGTCGGATGGCAGTGTCGTCCTCGGCACGGTCGATGATTTCCGGTGTCACGGGCCCTGAAGTGCTGCTTCCAGAGCCGTCATTGTCCGGAGAGTTTGTCGGACTCGGTGGAGGTTCGAGGTCTTCTAAAGGATCATGGTACAAAGCATGCTCATAGTCTGGTAGAGTAAAGTGGTCTTCGGGTTGGAAGTCGATTGGAAGTTCGTCGCAATCGGAGGATGATGATACGGAAATGTTGCTTGCGGGGGTAGAAACGAAAGATGTGTCTGTTGAGTCGGAGGGCTGGATTGTTCGTGGAGATGAGGGTGCGGATGACGAGGCGGTGGAATCGGCGTATTGTCTGGGGAAGTGCGAGTATGGATCCTCAATCTTGCTTGTTGGCGCAGAGGATCGCAGAGAGGATTTTGTGACGAATTTAGATTGTGACGATGATCGCTTCAAGCTGGTCGACGAGAAATAGTCGTCCTCCGACGAGAGCACAACGGCCATTTTCCAATGGGGAGGAAGACGGTGAGTTTGGGGCGTGGGGATGATGAGAGGTTTGAAGTTGTGAGAGGTGGGGGGGACGACTGCTGTGACAGCCAGAACGCCTGGACCCTATAAACCAAGTGGGCTGCTGTAGAGTCCCATCAAGGCGAAAGGGAGAGATCGTGAACCTTGTTGGAATTCAGGATAGGAGTTGGGTTGAAAGGAGGAAGGTAGGGCCCAGCAAGTGAAGCCGATTGTTGTTTCTTCTGGAAGGATAGGAAGGAGACGCCAAGGATTGGGTGGGGGAGGAAAGGATTAATATCCGTGCTGTACAAAGGTATTTACCCCAGAGCCGCTTAGTCGGGATCAGACATCTGGAGTCTCGAGGAATGTTAGCAGGGCCTGTGCTGTTCAGAGTCGATGCTTGTGCTTTGTGTACTGTGCTGTTTTGCCCTGTGTGCGCGGCGTGGTGCGAGGGAGGGAGCGGTGCTCATATAGGCCCGGTACCCAGGGCACTACACTAGAGATACTAACGGTACCAAAGATACCAGCCAAGGAAGAAGAAGGGAAAAAAAAAAAAAAAAAAAAACGCACAGGCGATTTTGTACTCGGAAGGTGGCGTTCGAGGGAAGAGCGGTGACTAGTACGGAGTACTTGTGTGTTAGCGCGTGGTATTGGTGCGTAGTTTGTACTTATCGAAGGCGCACACAATAAAGCGTTTTGATGGTGAATACTTGCACATGTGGTGTGTGTGGGGGTTTGGCCACAACGCCCTCATACCAACACCGTTGATCTCGCAATTCTCGTCAATTAGGGGCTGTTTTCTTCGCCGGTCAAACAATGTAGAAACAGGCAGGAAAAACAGGACAGTCCACCTAGAAGACGGACGAGGACCCCCGACCAAAGTTTATCAGGAAAGAGAGCTCCTTCAATGTTATAGCTACTCCCCTCGCACTATCAGGGGTGCAAGGGAAAACAATGCTCCCAACAGGGGGTGCGTGAAAGAGGATGCATGTGGTGGGGGGGCGTGAGGTAGGACTGGGACTAGGCAGCTTGTTGCTGCAAGCGGTTGTAAACTGCACAAAAAGTATGGTACATGCTAATAGACAAGCTAGTTCAATGTTGTAATACTATGAGGTAGTTACAGTTCTCTTGTGAAGGTGTTGATATGAGGTACGGGGTACTTGTAGCAAAGTTGGACGCCCTGACAAGTGAAGAAGTGAAGAGGACAAGACATTGATCCATGGATGTCTGCGCACTAGAGACCATTCTTGTCCCCCATACCCATCGATAATCTGGTTTTATGTGGTATTCAATGTAAAGTGACCTGCGAATGACGCAAAGCATATGCTCCCTTGCTGGCACTAACTGAAGAAGAGCCTTGAGGAAGGGAAACCGAAGTCTCAAGGACGGCTCGTACTTCGTAGTCATTTAAGGACATATCGATCGATAGGAATTAGGTATGATACTATCTCCTTAGCGCCCCTGCACCTCTCGAGTTTAAAGTTGCAAGACAATCTTGAACAGGCAAAATCGAGGAACAAGGCAGACCAAGGACTGTCGATGGCGAATGAGATGGCTGAGACCAGCACATTGCATACTTTGGACGCCCTCGGTTTGAGCGTGGTGTTCTACTTTGATAAAAACACTTGATTGAGACAAGACGAATCAGAGCATCCTGGGCATTCTGAGCATAGGGGACCGATTGCTCACGACTGAGACGCTACGGCTCACTGTTAACTGTTTGCGCGGGACGGATCATAGCTTAGTCTCCCCGGGTGATAGTGTCTTCACTCCACGGGGTCAGAGCAGTTCTTGCGAGACATTGTGGAGAGTACTTCGTACGCAGCCAGTGATGCGTTGTTGATACAGGGAATCAGGAAACTGGATTCGGACACCAGCATGGGAAAGGGATAGAGTCGAACGGAGCTAGGCATTGGCTGGTTGGAGCTCCCAGAAGTGCGGCTCTTCCAGGTAATCCCTGTTAAGCGAATGCTACCAGGCGGTGCAGGTCACTGGTGCAGTGGATCACACTGAGGAGAGGGGTTTCTTACAAAGTACGTACTCACGACGATAGAGAACATGCTCTGGTGTAGTTACTTCGTACTTCGTAATCATACGAAAATATGCGTACGGCTGGACTGGGGAAGAGAAAGCAACTTGATGGATAGGTGGAGGGAGAGATTGTGATGTGAGGTACATGTTGTACTGAGTCTTGCACTAGAACATAATGCGTATGCGGACGACAGCGTCGCCTGGCCTATTTCATGTACCTACATAATCTACGAAGCAGTGGACGCTCGTCCTGTCTCTTGTTCCTGCCGAAGCAAAGACAATCATCCCTCCCACCCCTCATTCCACGCATCCACACTACCCGTACATGGAGGATGTAAGGATGTCTCTGATGTGTGCCCGCAGTCGAGTGGGATGCTGTGTTACCCATCCCGTGGGGCACCCACAGCCTCCATCGCGTGCACATATGAGTATGTATCGCGTGCAATTCCAGAAGCAGAGAATAAAAGGATAAAAATCAAATGTAAATCAAAGAGGCCCGAAACTACCAGGGTGGGGTTTGCAAAGATTCCACGGCGTGTAATCCCTTCTAGTCTGGCCATCAATAACCTTAACGGCCCCAGAGATGGCGTTATATTCTACTCGTAGCGTAGTACTAGTAAGGGACGCGGCACAAATATTGTGGTCTCGGTGGCTATTTCCTTTTGTTTTCTTCTTTCCCCCCTTTTCTCTTGCACTTTTGTCTTTCCCTTTTTTCCCCGGTTCCTTTCCCCCCCGCGTCCTGAATTGCTTTCTTTTTCTTTCCCCATGCGCCGATGCTCCGTGAGCCGAGACCCGAGGAGGTTGCACACGGTGGCGGCGGCGCTTGCACTGTGACCGAGGCCGAGGAGGAACGGAAGGCATGAGGCGATCAAATGCCAATGCTACCGCAACCACCACTACTGGCTGGAAAGGAAGGGTTCTTCTTTTTTCATGTAGATAGAGTTGAGGGAAGGGATTCGGGACATTGCTTCAGCGCAGTACAAATGTAATCACCATAATTACATGCCGTCAAATCGAGAGTCGCGAGCTCAAACAAGTGAATCTCAGTTCCTTGCTTATCGGATTACAAATATGGCTACCTCAGACCCGACTCTGGCCCAGAAGACATTAATTGATTCGTATCTTTTGTCTCTTTGACAATATTCCGCGGCTTTGCGACTCGCAACACGAGGGGATGAACGGCGAGGACTACTCCGTAATAATCTGCGTCAGTGGCTATGGGCCGAGCTGGGCCAAGCCGGGCGGTGGCGAAGGCGAAAATTGATCATCCCGAGCTCGGGATAATACGAAGTATGAAGAAGCCGTGGTTACGATTCATCAATCTCTTTTGAAATAAGTTGCAGCCTTGTACAAAGTAGTTTAGGTGTAGGCGGGTCCCCTCGATCACACCTCACTTGATGCATCTTAACCTCTTTGGTGCTGATACCCGGATGGGTCAAGAGGCTGTTGCCTTTGCAGCAAAGGAACACAATTCCATTCGAGCCCTCGTACGAAGAACGTCGCATACTAACTTAAGCGCGTTGGTTTTGAAAAGGCAGGTGGGTCTACAAAGGTAGCGACTCATCAATTGATCAATCGCGCAATCGCGTTAACTAGTTTACATTGTGCCCACGGCCCACGTTCCGTTCAGTGTTGGTTTCCGCTGTCGTTCGATCTTGTGATGTATCATATTTGAGGATCCGGGAGGCCGAAAATACCCGGTACGAGGTAGGCTCCTGCGTTAGCCTAGAGATCGTCAGTGAGCTTTTGCTTCGAGCATAGCGCATTTGCGGTAGTAACAGCTAAAAACGGTCTATGTGAGGAAAGCAGAAATCGATCAATTCTGTAGCCCTAGGGTCGTGGTCATGAAGGCATCAATAGGAGATCCCGTTAACGCCGCTCCAATTCTTGACGAGTACGAAGTACACTAGTGAGCGGAGACTAGCCTGGCTTGTGCATAATCTACTCTTCAGAACATTGGGGGCTGGGGAACCTGGAACGAACTGGAACTTGCGGAATGCTACTGTATACGGCAGGCCTACTGTAGCCTTCCCTACGAAGTACGAAGCAAGTGATTTTGAAATTCTCAGTTCCAACAGGGGGGCCCTGCTAGTTCGGTCCAGTGTGATGGAAACTCTCTGATCCGTGCCCGAGTAATTCGCCCAGTGATAAAACCCTCGGTGAGGTGAACAGCAACTACAACCGGAAAGGGTATCAGAATCTTCAGGGAAGAAAAAAAAAAAAGGGAGGGGGGAGGAGGGGCAGAAATTCTAGCAGTTACGAATATTCTCCCGAGCAACGCCCCGGCCCTAAACATTGATCCGTTTCCTCGAGGCCCCATTCGTATTTTTTTTTTTTTTTTTTTTTTTTTTTTTTTTTTGTGGTTGGCTCTGGGTCGGTTTTTACGTACGAAGTGGCACCCATGACAGTTACTGAGGCCGGGACCCACCGCTTATGAGTCTTCCAATAGCCTCGGACGAGCCTTGTTTGGGGCACGGCTCGGGTTGACATTGATCATAAGGTTATTCGCCTTGACGAAATGTTATGTGCAGAGAGACGCTTCTTCTGGTGCGTCTCCGGGATCTTCCCTGTTCGCCGTACCGAGACAACTAACAAAGGACGAAGGAATCAAGAGAGGAGAGGACGTAGAGCTCAAGCTAGTGCTCCGTGTAGTTTACACGAAGGGTCGTCCAGCCCCACTCTGACACCAATAGTCCTCTCCTAGTGTTAGCGCTCGTACGAAGTACATTTGCAGAGTTACTGGCGGAGAGAAAGGCCTAGCATGTATGATGTATGATACTGGAGGGTGACCAGACATTTCTCTGCCCCGTTCCCCGTTCCCGCATGGTGCAAGCGGGCAACCCTAGCTTGATATCGTGCAAACCCCGCCGGATCGAATCAAGGGTTAGAGACAACGCGGTTTGACCACTGACTGACACATGGAGAGAATAATTGAAGGATCCTAAATTACACTTCAGTGGTGTAAC